ATTCGGCGTGTGAAGCTATTTTCCCCCGTCGATGTTGCTCAGTTTGCTTGGACAAGCAAATTTGACTTTCCAAACCAAAAATATAAGTCTGAAAAATGAGTAAAAACTACTTCTTGGTGCGAGTCATTCTCGCTCTCTGCCCATTGGCGGGGCTGAGTGTCGCTCAAATCCGACCAGAGGTCACGGTGGAAGCTGGCAAACTGATCGGTACCACCGAGTTCTTTGAGGAGTCGGAGTTCTTGGAGAACAAGACAATCGACGTGTTCAAGGGTATACCGTTCGCCCAGCCACCCGTGGGGCCGTTGCGTTTCAAGCCCCCAGTGGCCAAAGAACCTTGGGACGGGACCTACAACGCCACCTACTTCAGGGATTCTTGTATTCAAGCCGAATACCCGGGCGTACCTCCGATGCCGAACACCAGCGAAGACTGCTTGCATCTGAACATTTTTGCACCAAAACCAGCAATCGTAAGTGACTCACTTTTTTCCCCTCTTTTATCAATGCGACTTTGTGCTGACCAAAGTGCTTACCCACTGTAGACCTGATCAAGACGTTGGTAGTCAAAGCCAAAACAACATGCGAGAATAGCAACAAAATCACCAACAGTGACTGAGGACATATGAAATTAGTCCTTCAGCTATCGCTAGGCATTACACTAGTGAGACACATTTTACGAATTAAGAAAACACAACATCGATGGGGTGGGTGCATGTGAAGCTGAACAGAAGTGTCCGTGCAACTCATCTCCAAACAATTTTCCTTCTTTTTTGTGTGCAATATTTTGCCTCCAATCTTACACTGGAGCAGCTGGCTACATCTTCTAGATAACACCCGAGAACTTTCAGTGCTCTGCGGATTCCCATTATGGAGGCATTTCTAGAATTTATTTCAGATGATGAGAACGGGTAAACGATATTGGTCAATCTGATCTGATTCTAACCGTACCTCGAACAGTTTTTATCCAAATGTCATACGTTTATTGAATGACCTAGTGTGATATCATTTTTGAATTTTATCCGTATGGTCATTTCTGTTAATTTGTACCCTTGTATTGTAACTAATGTTAATGCCAATTCACCGAGGGTTCACAATTGGAGGAGAGAGTTGCCAAAATCTGACTCTCAAATATGGTTGGCAAAAACATAGTTTATGGTTACTTGGATCACCAGTAAGCTTTGAGGATTCCGTCTCCAGCTACATGATCATTGTACAGCGGTTATATCTCCCACAAATTCCCGGTGCCCCCCCCCCCGAAAAAAAGAAATAAAATCAAGTCAGTGGATGAATAGATATTGAACAAGGCTAACAAAAGCGTGCCCTCCAATACACCATAAAACTGAAAACTGGTTTCCCCTTGTGTCCCCCCACTAGTAAAAGCCTGGCTACGCCACTCCACGGTAGCTATCTTTCCGGTAATTGCTTTTGTTACGGTGGGTTGGTAACAAGTTCTACTCACGCGTATCCCTGTGGAACAAAAGCACTAGCAGAAAATGGCTGCCAGAACAACTATAATGTAATGTGAGAACGTTTTGCAGCAGGAGCCATATTATTAAGCGAGCGATTTTACATTTTTTGTTACACCTCTTTACAGGAAGGGGGCGTTGCCGTCATGGTCTATATACACGGGGGTGGGTTCTTCCTTGGGTCCTCCGTGGGGTTTAACGGATTGCCACTTGCCGCCTCTGGGGACGTCATAGTTGTTAGCATCAACTACCGATTGAACGTCTTTGGATTTCTGACAACAGGTATTTATAAAACAATCGGTTTTGTTTAGTGACTTCTGCATTATTATGTAGGAGTTATTCCATCCATTGCACTTCCCAAGTATTAGTAAACTTGTCATCGAGTCAGTCAAGCGCCGGTTTGTATCACGTGGAACCGGATCGCCATCAGTAATTTGACGTTGGTTCACTGACACCAGAACCGGGGCCTAACTGGGATCACCGATCGAGATCCAGATCCCTGTGAAACAAACAGGCCCTAAGAGAAGCACCTAAACTGTGACACAGACCACGCCAAAAGAGCGTTCGATGTTCAGGCTTCCGCGCACGTTTTAAGTGATTCCCGAGTGCCAGGAAATCGGAGTCGTTAATCGAGCCTGCTCGAAAACCACCAGCTGGCTTGATGATGTTGGAAGATCAACGCTGATTGGCCATCACCGAGCAGTCGTAAGGCAAACGTCATGCAATTTGTCGTGAATTTCAACGCACATGGCAGTCCTTCAATGTACTTATACGTCTGTTCCAATGTATTGCCTTATTGACGTGTTTCTAATACAGGTGACGAGGTGGTACCGGGTAACGCAGGCCTTATGGACCAAGTATTTGCCCTCGAGTGGATCAAGACGAATATAGCAGGTCTGGTTTTAAAGTATGGGCTTAAACATTCTACTTTTGTTTGTTCTACTGGTTAGAAAATTGGAAGTCAAAACGTCTGTTGGGAGAATTATTAATTTTGAAGAGTGCCTGCAACGGAAGCTTGTTAGTTTTATCATTTGATAAAAATTTCAAAGAACTTGATCTCTCCCAGTCCACAGAAAATCTTGTTTTAAGTAAGTTGTAATCACGTTACCCAGTGTTCAATTTGGAAATCTTGTTCAAAATACAAGACCAATGCTTTGGGACAAACAATATTGTTACCTACGTGGTCTCTGTGTTACCAGCAGGAGACAACACCTTGTTAACCGTGCATGGGTTTATTCTACCCGGCCACCAATATTTTTTTCCGATTCTCCAATAGCCTTTGGGGGTGATAGCGAACGGATTACCATTCTCGGGGTGAGTGCTGGGTCAGCCAGCGTCAGTCTCCTGGTGCTGTCACAGATGTCGCGGGGGTTATTCCAACATGCCATAATGCAGGTGAGTTTTGTCAACGAATTCAGTTCAGTTACAGGAGTGAAAGTGACGAGTGCAAAACTATGGAGATCTGGAAGTGCCAAATGAGATAAAATCAACGTGTCAAATGGCACTTCCAGAGCTCCGTGCAAAGCAGATCTTTGCGAGTCACTTTTGAACGTACTTGCAAACAAGGAAACTTTTCAAACCAACTTCCGTATGGACGTCCAAAAGGTGTTTAATAAGGCGGGCCCAGACTTTTAAGGAAATTCATGTTTAGGCCTTCCTATTCTTCACAAAATTAGTGCAAGCCTTGTTTGTTGAACCAACTCATTGAGAAATGACACCCCGAGAAGATTGAGACCGGTTTCGACTAAAAAGTGTGTGCGGCGTATTATTTTCGCTCAGAGCGGGACTGCGTTTTCTCCGTGGGCGTGCACGGACGGCAAACGGGATCGGCTCCGACAGCAGGCTTTTGACATGGGGGAGAAGCTCGGCTGCAGTGCACCGGACAGCGCAGCTCTGGTGGACTGTCTAAGACAGCAGGACGTTATGGATGTTCTTAACGTGTCAGTTCAGGTACCCATTGGCGTCCAAGTCTTCGCTAAGTCACACGCGCAATTTTCTGGCCATCCACTGGCTGGCAAAACTATGGCTGGCCTTGTGTAAGAAACCAGCCAACAAAATGTCAAAACAAACTGTGGAATATATGACAACCCTAAAGAGTATATTACTTTTGCTAAATAGTACATGAAAAGGCCTCTTACTTTAACACCATATCAGCAACATTCTGAGGCAAGTCGAGGCTAAACTGTCCGCAGGCTCTGACCACCAGCCATACAATGGCGGTCATCGTTTGTAAACTGAAAAAAGGTCTATTGGTGATTTAAGGACAGTAAGTAGTGTATCAGTGCTAATGGTAATAATACCGAGAAACCGTACTCTGTTTAGTGGAAAGGAGTTCTTTTTCGCACGAGAATTAGAACCCAATTCAGGTGCAAACGTGTGGGTCTACTTGCTGAATGGAACATGAAGTATCTTTGGCCTTTACTTTACACATTCAGGCTTGGCTCACGGTTGCCGTGCCTCCTGTGGTAGTTGATGGGACCTTCCTGGACGACACCCCGGCCAACCTCTACGCCACCGGGCGGTATAACCACGTCCCGATCCTTCTCGGTTTTACCAGTGCCGAAGGAAGCTCCTTTGTGTTGAACAACCCGTTTCTCGGTCCGGGGGCGAACGAGAATCCGCCCTATCTGACCAAGGAGGATTTCGATCGAGCCCTGTCCGCAGAAGTAGCCAATAGTTTCTACGGTGAGGAAATCTAATAGGATCAGCACGAACTATTGCCAGAGTTTGGAACCAAGTTCTTATCCACGACTCCTGTCAGACACTGGAAACGAAATGAAATGTGTCGCACTGATTTTTACTTCCTTCTTTTTCTATTTTTTACTTAACAGATTTCTAGACCTTTTTAAACGGTTTACATAAAAGCATGAGGTTTCTGATCTGAAGAGTTTATTTCCAAAATGCGACAGGTGCCAATTTGGTATCTTTCAGAATCTTACCCTCTCTTAGTTGCCGGCCATCAGTTTCTGCAGCTTTTAGACAGCGCAACATAACTTTAATGAGTCTGTACAGTAACCACGAAGCTTAAGGATAAATGGTACACTGCTAAGCTCTTCGATCTTTCATAATTGTAGAAAAATTGCATGTTTTTCAAATGGGTATATCTCATTTTGAAATTAAACCCTTCATTTGACTCATGGTTCTTGTATTTATTCCTTTTTCCCCTCAGTTCAAATAAAACCGTCAGATCTTAATGTCAGCCATGCGCAGCTGAAAACCAGTATATTATGTACTTCTGTCTTGCAGGTGATTCTGAGGCCTCCAATGCCCTACTCATGGACGCTATCAAACAACAGTACGTCGACTGGTCCCAGGCCGACAACCAAACCGCCAATTATCTCAAATCGTACGTAGAGTATCTCGGCGATTTCGCTTTTGTCAGCGGAACCGACCGGGTGGCGCGCTACCACGCCCAAAGCGGCGACGACGTCTTCCTGTACCAGATGACGCGGGTTAACGACTACAAGTATTATGAGACTTCGTGGATGGGGGCGACCCACGCGTCAGACATGTGGTATGTGTTTGGCATGCCATTTGAGTCTGCCTTCCGGCCATTTCTTGACCAGTACCGAGAGGACGTGGCACTCTGTGTCCAAATCATGAGATTCTGGACCACTTTTGCGAAAACTGGGTAAGTTATGCATGGGGAATTCGCTTCCAATGCGGGCTGCTAATTTTTGTTACACAACATGCCGAAAGAAATTAAAGCCGGCTTGAATAGCATCTAGAATCTTGGCTCTGGAGGATTTTCTTTTTCCAAAGGAAAGTAAATTCTGACATTTCACCAAGGGAAGCTTTCACAAGGCGTGGAGACTAGTCTCTTTTCAAGACTGGCAAGACTATTTCACCGAAGGAAAGTTTACAGACTGTGTATCCCCGGCCCAGACGATTCGATTCACAGCAAAGTGCTCCTCCGAAAGGGTGCTGCAGCGAGGTCATTTGTCGCATTGCACTGTGGGAAATGGACGACACATCCTATTCTCCAGCCGTCAGCACTGAACATAATCCGTTGTGTATCTACACTATCGTCCTGTCATTGGCGCATCCTCAACCCAGATGATGAAAATGCACATAAAACCAATATAGAGACAACAAATATAGAGACAACATTCAGGACCATTAAACGACATTTCCTGTTATTTTCACAGAAACCCCAGTTTCGACGCTCAAAACTCACCGTCTGACCCCGATATGGGTTATTGGCCCAAGTTTACTATCCCCGAGTTGGAATACAAAGAGCTTGACTTGAACCTCACGAACAAGAGAGCCCTCAAGAGCCAAATATTCCACTTCTGGAACATCTTTACAGTTCAGCTCAGGACCATGCTGGGTAACGGACGATCCTAAAAGTCTTATTTTGATGAATATATATATATTTGTATATAAGCAATCTTCAGACTTAGCCACTTTTCTCTGCAACCCGTGCACAGGAATGACAACATGTTTTAGAAGGATTTGTTTTGTGGTTTTTAAAAGCCTCCAAGTTTTTTTTTTTCGCAAAGCCAGAAGGAAATGTAATCCAATACACGCATATCTACACCAATCGTAAAATCATCATAGCCTTACTGTGTGTTCCCCGAGTACAAGATGGATGTTTCTAGTATGGCTTGATTTCGATTCACTTGATAGAGAAAAGACAATTTCAAAATTTCCTTTTCGTGGGTTGATTTTTTATAAAAAGGGACTTCTCTTTATTCTTTGATCAGCTGACCAGGATACTGTCGAACTGGAATGGAAAGACGCTTTCTACCGTTGGAAGTACACGGACATGGAAGACTGGAAAACGCAGTTCACCAAATACAAAGAGGAACTGTAAAACTCCTCCTGCCTGATAATTCCAAGTATAGAACCCCCCTACACAAATTTGCCGAATGAATTGCTGCATTTTAGAAAATATATGGGCTTTGAGCCTTTCAACTGGGTATTACACAAAACAATGACTTAAAACGTATGCATGCGCTTTCTAGATATTACTGTTTACCTAATACAGCATCGCACACATGAAAGAGGTTAAGGCTGAGTCAATTCAATTTATTGTGCTAAGCTTTGACCATCGATCGATTATTCAGTTCTACCAAATTCCTACAAAAGCAGATGAAACAACAAGTTTCAAATGTAAGTTTTGGCTGCACTATGTTCGCAAGCATTCAGCTGCCTTATGCTTACTCAGAGATCTTGAAATATACTTCTAGAGTGCAACTTTGCAACCTAGTAATTAGATTCCCCCATTGCTGTTCACCTCCGAGTATTCCATTCCAATGAACAAAGGATCGAGTATTCGAATAATTGGCCCAGCCCTGTCTGACATATGCAGTCCTGAATCTGACATTTTTATTTTATACAGAGTAGCTGAAATAGAAAGTAGAATTCTGTAAAACCGGAATAGATACGAAATGTAGTCAGTGCTGAGGCTTTTTTCCATAGACAATAAAATCCAATCGATTTAATTGAACAAGTAGAACAAGGCTTGAAAACACATAACCAATTCCTGCACTTCTCTATTATACCCCCCCAAGACGAGGTTACACTCTACAACGTGCATGGTGTTCCAGGAGCTGAATCCTACTACAAAACTAACCATAAGCAAAACAAAAAAAACAAACAAACAAAAAAATTCTGATGTCGTCTCTATATTTATGATTCCTTATTCTTCATGATTTTCAGACTGTTCATCTTTTGATACGTCTGTTTCAATCCATTTTGGCTTGCTACGGTATTCTATTCCGTATTGATTTTCCTGCTTGGCTAAATATTTCCTCTCTGACGCTATTCTTATTGTTTTTATATTCATTTTGTTCATTTAGTCAGGTTCTTGCTGTATTTTATATGCTTAATTTAAATGTTAAATTACTTCTGTTTGGAATCAGAATCGTTCGTTTCGCGTTAACAGTTGCTGTAGAAGAAGGGCTGTGATGGTGACACCAGAATCCAAAAAAAAAATCTTGCCCGTACGTAACCATTGATGTGATGGTTTCTGTAGTCCACGGTGTATTAGTAAAACCTCAGATTTTTTACATGCCTCCGAAGTTTCTTTAGCTATACAGACAGCATGTAATCAATGCACTAGCTGTTTCGTACAAATTTCATGTACTGTTTTTGACTAATTCATATGAGCGATTTGTAGCAAATCTGCCACCGGATGTTGTTCTAACTTATGCAAGCTCCTTGCTATTGTCTGTAATCACGGTGACACAGACTTTTTCAGTCATGTGAAGTGCGGGGTCTTTTACACTCTGTGAGAAGTTATAGGCTAAGCAGTGTGACTCCAAAAGCAAACAATTAGACATAGTTTGCGCTGATCGACCTCAACGACGACGCTGGTTGACCTTGGTACTGATAAATATATTCTCTTCATGTGATTGGTTCATCTTTGGACCCCTCAAAGGACTTTGACATGAAGACTACAGTATCATGACTGGNTAACTGACTGTGAAATAACTAGACTTGCCTAAAGGATTAGTTCAAAGGCTCCTGACGAAAGGAAGCAGCAAATGAGTCGTTCACAATTGCATCGACGAGAAGGTTTGAATTACTTTTGTATCTTATATACTTGTGAATACCAATTAATGTTTTATAAGTAATTATTTCACATGAGGCAGTTAGCGAATGCAACTGTATGCAAATTTCACAGTGACATTCATATGCCACTAATTACCTTTTTCATGTGATCACATCCAAAAAATAATTACGTGTTAACAAATAAACCAAGGCAAACAGAAGAAACTTCCGAGGTACGACGGTCAGTTATTATCGACAGAAAAAGCTGAGAATCATTCGTCTGCATGTAAACAGCCATGAGTTGCCGCATGACCAGTGTCTGTTTCAAGGGTGTCGTGTAAATAGTTACTTCTGTTGCAGTTATTCGACGTGGCAGTGTTAGAGCCTTTTTGGATTCATCGTGGTCAGGATTTGACGGCGGCCGAAAGTGACCGCTTGTAAGCGTCATTTGACAGTTTCTTTAGGTGATCAATTTTAGGAGTAACTGTAAAAAAGTTTGTGACTCGTTAGCCGGATAAAAACCACGCGCAAGCCTTCACGTTGCATAAAAATATGATCTTATTTACCTTCATCTAATTCACCTTTAATGAGTTTTGAAAATTTATTTTCACGTTCACTCAAGGTTTTGATGAATCTGGGTTTGGGAAAAACTAACCGGCATGGGGCACCCTAACTTTGCGTCATGCATTTTTTGACCGGGGTTGAAACATTGAAAGGTCAAGGAACCAGACCAATCAAACATTAACCAAATTAAGTTCGAAGGCATCTTCTTTATAGGCCCTACTTGACATCAAATTGCAAACATCGAGGACAGACAGTCACGCGAGTACTGCATTTAGCGTGAAGCTATACTAGAAATTTTGGCTCGAATTTGGGCAACAAAAGCAAACTTCATAATTCAACTGAACCACAACGTTCTAAACATGAGCAAAGACCACTTGTTGGTGCGAGTCATTCTCGCTGTCTGCACATTGGTGGGACCGGGTGTCGCTCAAATCCAACCAGAGGTCACGGTGGAAGGTGGCAAACTGATCGGTACCACGGAGTTCTTTGAGGAGTCAG